TACCATGTTTGTCCTTCTGAGTCTGGGTAACCTCACCCAGGATGATATTTTCTAGTTCCATCCATTTGCCTGCAAATTTCATGATATCATTGTTTTTTTTTTCTGCTGAATAGTACTCCATTGTGTATATGTACTACATTTTCTTAATCCATTCTTCAGTTGAACGGCATCTAGGTTTTTTCCAGGTTCTGGCTATTATGAATAATGCTACTATGAACATAGTTGAGCATGTATCTCTTTGGTATGATTGAGCATTCCTTGTGTATATGCCCAAGAGTGGTATAGCTGAGTCTTGAGGAAGATTAATTCCCAATTTTCTGACAAAGCACCACACTGATTTCCAAAGTGGCTGTACAAGTTTGTATTCCCACCAACAGTGGAAGAGTTTTCTGCTTGCTCCACATCCTCTCCAACATAAACTGTCATCAATGTTTTTGATCTTAGCCATTCTGTCAGGTGTAAGATGGTATCTCAGAGTCATTTTGATTTGCATCTCCCTGATGACTAAAGATGCTGAGCAATTCCTTAAATGTCTTTCACCCATTTGAAATTCTTCCCTTGAGAATTCTCTGTTTAGCTCTATAGCCTGTTTTTTTTTTTTTTTAAATTGGATTGCTCAGTATTTTGAAGTCTAGCTTTTTGAGTTTTTTATATATTTTGGAAATTAGCCCTCTGTCAGATGTGAGGTTGGTGAAAAAACAAAAAAAGCAAGCTGGTCCCAGGGTCACAGGAATGGGAAAGCTGACCTTGCAACCTCACCAGCTGCAGCATTCAGAAGAGTGGGCCCTGAACCTTGCCTGGCCAGCACAGTAGAGCTGACCCTATTGAGGCAGGTGAGGTGATCCTGCCCTACAAACATGCATGGGAGATCTGGTCCTACCTCTCATCTGCCATACGGTGGAGTGAGTGAGCGGGAGATGACCTCCCCTCTACACCACCCCTCACCACCTGTGATAGGTGGGAAAGTCGTCCCTGGGGTCATGAGACTGGGAGAATTGGCACTGGCCCTCTCTGGCAGCAGCACTCAGAAGAGCAGGCCCTGTACCTCACCCAGGTAGCACAGTAGAGTTTACCCTGGGTGTAGAGTGCAGGTGAGCTAGTCCTGTAGACATCAGAGCAGGAGAGCTGCCTCCACCCCCTCCCTCAAATACCATAGGGTGGCATGGATGAGGGAAAGATGCCCTCCCTCTCTTTGCCCCTTGCCGGTAGGCAGGAGAGATGGCCCTGGGTTCACGAGAGAGGGAGAACTGGTCCCATTCCTCACCAACTGCAGCACTTGGGAAAGCGGACCTTGCACCTCACTTGGCCCTGGTGGTGTAGGGGTGGGTGCAGGAAAGCCAGACCTGAGGGCATGGCAGCAGAACTGATTCCATGCCTTGCTGTCTGCTGCATTGAGTGAGCTAGCTGGGGCAGTGCTGGAGAGCTTGCCGAGGTGCTGACCAACCCAGCTACCATTCAGACCCAGAGCCAGGCCTAGGAGGTAGTCCACCCCAACGTTCCACCACATCTATGAACAGCTGGAGCATGTGAAGGGGCCGGACCTGCGGATCCAAACCCCGAGGATCTCCATGACCCAAGGCAACAACAGGATATCCAAGAGGAGTCCCAGTGAGTGCCCAATATCAGTAGTGTAGTGTTGCTGGCTCTGTAGCTGGGATCCCAAGGTCTCTGATCCCGGGGGCAGGGGGTGAATAGATGCAGAACCAAATGGCACAGGCTCTGGGAGGTTGTAAGCAATCTCATTTATTAAACAAAGGACTGAGGTACTTATGTGTGTAGTTTTTGGTGGGCTCTGCTTCCAGCTACTGTGGTGTTTCCCTGTTGACTCTGGGTCTTAGGTAAGCAGTTGTCATCTTGGAGGTCTAGTTTCAGGCTCCTCTGGGTCAGGATACCACTGCGCATGTCAGAGCTCTTTGTTTGCTTAAGGCATGGCCCAGTACTTTCCACCTTACCTGGCTCAGTGTAGCAGAAGCCAGAGGCCTCGAACCAGAGCAATGATTCATTGCAATGAACACTTACAAGCAAAGATGTATGGACTAAAGGGTATATACGCTGTCTGACTCACCGGGCCACACTACAGCTTCCACACCAAGATTTTTGTTGTTGTTGTTCTTGTTGTTGTTGTTTTCTTTTCTCTCATTTTGGTTTTACTTGTAAATTTGCGTTTGGTTGGGGGAGGAAGTTGTAAAGGCAGAGGGTGGAAGGGAGAGGAAAGGAATATGAATGGGGTCAGGATGCATGATGTGAAATCCACAAAGAACCAATTTAAAACATTTAAAAAAAGGAAACTGTGTGAATAAATATTATTTTCCCTATAGATGAGTGATTTAGGCTTAAATTATCTAAATACCTGGCTTCAGTTGTATAGTTACGATAAGCTCTGTGATCACTTTTAAAAATCAGTATGTAAATACAATCATGCATTGTTTTCTGATGGGATGCATTCTGAGAAAAGGCTCATCAGGCTGTTTCATCAACATCAATGAACATCACATCATTTCATTTATGCAAAACTCAACAAGAAAGGTGAATTGCTCCACATAAGATGGGCAGTAATGATGGTGGTATAACATGACACAACATTTTAGAGTCAACTTTTTTTAATGTAGGAGTACATCCTAAATTAACAACAAAAGTTATGGAATAGTAAATACATGAACTATGGTTATGGTCATTTATTATCATTATTATTAATTGCTAACGTATTATACTTTCAGATGACACGGTGTAGTGGGTCTGTTCACACCAGAATAACTACAAATACATTTATAATGCAGTGCACTGCAGCATTAGGATGGCTAGAACAGCAGAAGGTTAGAGAAACTTAGCACCATTATAATCTCATGGGAGCACCATCCTATACATGGTATGCTACTGATGAAAATATTATGTGGCACATGACTGTACAATAAAGCTATGTTTTCTGCATAATGAAATAAATAGAAGATCCATTAAATAACATGTATTAAAAGAGTATTACATAGAGTAAACTTTGTTGGTGGTATGGGTTAAAAAATACAGAAGAGAAATGCCTGTTTTGTATAATTAATAAATATTGCAAGTACCACTCCTTAACCTCCTCCAATTATGGTTAACACTGATATCCTAAAAAAACAATAAAGCCCACTTTATATTACTTTCTAAAGAAGTCACTGTTTTAAGAATATGGTACTGTGCTGCCTCGTATAACATTTGAATAACTGTTATATTTTTGTTGTGACACAAACCTCTCCCTTTAAATGCTTTGTGTAAGGAAATGCTACATATATTTATCTAAGGAACATAACACCCTCATAAAACCTAAACCTCTAAAATTAATCTTTAAGTCCTTAAAAGTTAGTTTATAGAGATAGATTCTCAAATCATGCAATATTAACTATAGTTTGAAACACAAACTCCAGAAATCTGCAAAATACTAATAAAAGTCTTAAATTAACATGAATTCACCTATAAATATGCTTGCAAACCTAGATTTTATTTTGTGGTTTTTGAGAACAAGCTATGGAATTTTGACTTCTGCTTTGACTGTATCATGAAAATACAAGTATCTTTATTTACATTCAGGAGGCTTTCCTGTAACTTCCCACAGCTGTAGGCTGCCATCTAGAGGCTGTCATGAATAGTATACTTTGGGAATTTTTTTTTTTTAAGATTTTTTTCATTTTATTTTATTTTTAAATTATTTCTTTCCTTTCCTTCCTGCAAGCCCTCCAATTTATCCTTTCTTGCTCTATTTCAAATTCATTGTCTCTTTTTCAACAATTATTGTTTTTGTGTGTATACATGATTTATAATTTCTACACACATGAGTAGAACCTGGTCAGCTTGTATAATGCTTCTTTCAGGTATGTTTTAAGGCTTGACTGTTTGGTATTGGATAACCAATTGGTACTCTGTTCTCTAAGGACTATTTCTCCCACTCTCTGTATGTGTGCATGTCTGTGTTGGTGATGTGAGAAGGTGCCCATGGATGCCAGAGGTGTTGGATGACCTGGGAGCTGGAGTTACTTCTAATGTAACTCAGTGTGAGTGTTGAGAACCAAACATCTGTCCTCTGTAAGAACAGTGTGAGTCCTTAACCTCCGAGCATCTCTCAAGCCACACTAATCAGTTTTTAACAGATCTCTGAAACTAGTATGACTTAAATAGTCTTAATATCTCTAAAGTTCATCATTTTATGAACTTTCCTCCAAAGAGCTTTTTAAAAAGAACAGCAATAATTCAGAATATTAAACATTGACAATTCATGTTAGTTTTCATCTCTTATCTTAAACAAGTGCCTAACTTTTATCAATCGATAAGGTCAATATTATTTGAGTTTAATATAAGTCAACATTTTTCCTGATAACATTGGTTTTCACAATGGCTATACTATGGTACTATGTGCTCTATTATATATTCTTTTATAGTCTGTATACAATGAGGAGATGGTTGCTGAATGCCTTGGTAAAATCTTACCATACACATGTTATAGACCATGTCATCTGTCCTAATTTCATTATGGTCTGGATCCTTTAGATCTAGGGTATCTAATGTCTCAGTAATAATTTATCAAACTGAAATCACAAAAGTGGCCAGTATCTGGCTTCTTCTCTTCAGTCTGATGTTGAAGTGGGTACTAATGCAGCACAATGTAGATGCAGCTTCCAAGAGGTCTTCCCTGTGGTCTCATCCCAGCTGAGTGACATCTCAGCATAGACAGATGTCACAAGCCCACTTTTCATGCACAGGCTGAAACTGACAGCAGAGAGAGCATATCCGCCATCATCTCAAACTAGAAGACCAAGTCCCAGCTGCAGCCACATCACTATTATCTCACACCAATATCTGAACCTTATTCCAGTCAAGATCTGCTGTTGGGAAAGGGTTAGGGATTATCCCATCACAGTCGTTAGGTTAGACTGAGTCTTTTGAATTCCATTCAACTATACAATTATTTACCACATAAAGTATGCTGACTATTTGGAAATAAACTTTTAATCTACCTTCAAACCTTAAGAGAATTTCCAGTAATTTTATTAGTAAGCTTTTCCTCATCCTTCATTCCTTCATTAGTTTTCATGTTGCAATGTCAAGCAAGTCAGTGATTTATTTCATTCTTGATTGTATGTTGACATCCTCTGCATGTCAGTTGCAAATAAATATTATTTTCTTTGATTTGTTCATAACAAGTACATTATAAAGCGTTTGCGTGATTATTGTAGCCACAGGAAACAATCATTTTCATGTTGCTCTTGTTAGTCATGTAGGAAGAAAATTTAGCTATATATTAGTTTCTCCATTTCTTCAACTTCTTCTCCAACATGAAATTTTGACAAGTCTGTGGCTGCCCATGCTTGCTGATCTTTTGTAACGAATGTGATCACTTCTCACATTCTATTTTTAAAAATCCCTAATGTTTTTCTGTACATTAAAAATATAGTTCCTTTTCATTTCCCACTTTATGTCATTCCTCATCTTGCACTTGAAAAGTAGAAATTCACTAATATGAGAGAAGCTGGTGAGATAAAGGAAAGGCTTGCTTCACATTGTAAGTGTGCATGAGCACTTTGGATCAGCAAGTCAAAATTTTGGCGACAGAAAACTTGTAGAAAATAAAAGACTGCAGGTTGGCAGAGTCCCTCTGAAAGAAGCAAGATGCTCATGTAAAGAACTAAGCTAGGAAGGAAATGTACACTTCGGATTGTTCAGTGTGGTAGTTCGGGTCCTCCTGATTTATAAAGATTCCTTTGCAGCTGTGTGTCTCTAAGAACAGCCTACGGACTAATACATCCATTTCATCCCACTGGGTCCTTCTGCTTTAGAGACCAGTGTTTGATGCAATCCAGTCCCGAAAGGCAGTCACTCTGGTATAAACACCAGGCTTATTTGGTTGGGCACATTCATCTCCCCAGCTCACTATTCCAGCAAGGTACCAGATATCTCTAACATCTGGAGCAACCAGTGGTCCTCCAGAGTCACCCTAAGGAAAAATGGAGAGATTATTTAGTTATAATTTACCTCACAAAGGCAGAATTTGTTACTTACCCAAGATAAACTATAACAAACGTGGTGATTTTCAAGTCTTCAGTGTTGTGGAATATTAGTTTAAGATGTGTTATGTTTATTTATGCTGTGGAATATTTGTTTAATGATGCAAAGATGTGTTGCATTCTTTTATGTTGCATTTGTTTAATTTTGTAAAGCTGTGTTACTTTGCCTGCCTAAAACATCTGATTGGTCTAATAAAGAGATGAACGGCCAATATCTAGGCAGGAGAGGGATAAGTGGGGCTGCCAGGCAGAAAGAATAAGTAGGAGGAGAAATCTAGAAGAAGGAAAAGAGGAGTGAGAAAAGGAGGAGCAGAGGATGCCAGGGGCCAGCCACCCATCCACACAGTCAGCCACAGAGCAAGAAGGAAAGAAAGATATATAGAATAAAGAAAGATAAAAAGTCCAGAAGCAAAACATAGTGAAAATGGGATAATTTAAGTTAGAAAAGCTGGCTAGAAACAAGCCAAGCTAAGGCCAGGTATTCATAAGTAAAAATAAGTCTTTGTGTATTTATTTGAGAGCTGGGTGGTGGGCCCCCAAAAAATAAAAATAAAAACCAACTGCACTTCAGGATGTTAAAATACAGAGCAGTGCAGCTAACCACAGAAAGGCTGCCAGGGGAGTTGGTTTGACCTCGTGTTTCAGGACACAGACAGAAAGTTCATTTAGCTGAAGAGCAAATAGTACTGTGGACTTAGCTGGTGCATCTGACCAGATCACTCCTTCATCAGGTCACCACCTTATTACTATGACCTAACTCACCAGTAAGTGGTAAATAGTCTATTACTGATAAGCCACACAGACATGAGCTTTGAAAATCCGGAGACCTTAACATCTGAGGCTAGATAAACAGCTCACCTACAAAAAATATATATTGCTCTTCAGAGAACTCAAGTTTAGTTTCTAGTATTCACAACACATGCTCACAAATAGCCATAACTCCAGCTCCAGGGAGATCCACCACTTGTAGCCTCCACAGACAGTTGCACTCACCTGCACATACAGACACACATATACACATAATAAAAAATAATAAAAATAAGTGTTTAAAATAATAATAATAATAATAAGTAGTAGTAGTAGTAGTAGTAGTTTTAAACATTTCACAGTTCTACTGAGTTTGGGAATGCAATTAAATTTTCATCTCACACTAATAGCCTAAAACATGTGAATAAAAATGGCTTTGAAGTATTTGGAAATTTGGGATTAAATTTGAACAAGAATTTAATTTGGAAGATACAGCTTTGGGGAAGTCATTTGGGGAAGCAATTACAGTTAAATACTTTAAGGTGGCTTCTTTGAATGGGTATAGAGACAAAACAGAAAATTTCATATGAGATCTGAATCTTGAATTCTTGGGTATAGAGATTGCTGGTAAGAAAGATAACTAGGGGATGGAACCAAATCTGAGTAGATGGAAGGGGAGGCAGAAATCAGTTTCATGAATTAGGATCATGGAATCTGAAGAAAGATCATGTTTTAGAAAAGAGAAATTTGCCAAATAACACTGAGATGAGAAAGACCAGACCTGGTTAATAGTGTTGTTTTAGATTATTAATGGTTTTTGTGATATTAAGGCTGTACAGAGCCATACAGGTGGAGAAAATGGAGACACAATTCTATCTCAGATTGAAGTGTGCACAATTGGCACTCAAGCATCTTCCTGCTCTGTTCATGTTTCTCAATGATCATAATAAAAGTGCCCAGAGTATTGAATTCAAGCTAAAATATTTTAGTGAATCAGAACAGTTGAAAATATGGAATTAGCAAATGTACTTTCAAATAACTCTTTCAATATATGATTTCACCTTAGGACATTTATTTATAGAATAACTGTTGTTTGTTTCTTCTGTTATCCCCAAAGCTACGAAGATTAGAGAAGAGAAAATTAAACACAATGAAATGAGTCTAATCTTGAGCTTTAGCCTCAGGCATGCAGAAAGGTCAGCGATATGAGAGAGCTCAATTATGCAAACTGAACATGGCTAAAATGATTGATCCAAGAATAAGGCAGGAAAGGTCTGTCTGGTTCCATTGGTGATCAGAAGGGGGCGGGGAGAGGGGTGATGGAAGTGGAAACTGGCAGTGTTCCCATGAGATCATGAGAAAAAAATATGAAAATGTGTAAAGTAAGATCTTGAAAAAATACATGTCTTTGTATAGCTCTAGATTGAAACCCAGAGAACAAGATGAACTTTCAAAGAATATGGAATTTAAAAAATGTGTTAAACTTAGTCTTCTAAAATTACAAAGTAAAAATTGTAGGAAGGACATACCCAATGAAGCATTTAGCCCACTCCAATATTTTGTCAGTGGTGTTTTTAAAGAAACCATTTGTGCATCTTATAAAAAGATGAATTTTCATACTGACCAAGACACTGAATTGGCAACACTAGATGGTTTATACTGGGATCAAAACTCAAAGATGTCTGTAATTCAACCTCGGATGGCATTGAGTTATCCCATTTCCTGGGGCTACATTTGGCTAAAGCTAAGAATCAATCGTGGGTTCTAGAAATGAAACAAATATAAAAATATTCTGAAATTTAAGGTGAAGAAAGCAAGTAGACTAAGTAACTTCAGGCTTGGGGAGTAGTACAGCAGAAAATTGCTTTTTATGGTCTGGTCATTTGAAGCTAAAAAGTCACCAAGTTGTCAATCTGTGAAGAGGTGCAATTAAAAAAATTAATTTTAAAGGTCTCAAGAAAAAAATTTTTTTCCAGGCTGAGAGATGGGTTAGCACTTATTCTCATAGAGGACCTGGATATGGATCCCAGCACCTAAATGCTTGTTCACAGCCATTCATACCTCCAGTTCCAAGATCCAAAACCTTTTCTGACCCCCATAAGCACCATCACACATGTAGTGTACATAAATGTAGGCAAAATACTCACACACATAAAATAAATTAATTTAAATCAACTCAAAACCTCTCCAGTAAAAGAGTGAGAAGCGGGGTAGACAGGGAAGATGGAAATACTAGGCAATCAGTTAAAATCAAATAAGTAGACTTGCTGGGTAGTTTTATGTCAACTTATATACACTAAAGTCATCTGAGGGAAGGGAACCTCAATTTAGAAAATGCCCCCATAGGCCAGGTTGTAGGGAGACCTGTAGGGCATTTTCTTAGTTAATGATTGATGGGGGAGGACCCAGCCCATTAAGGGTGGTGTGATCCCTGAGCAGGTAGTCCTGGGTACTATAACAAAGCAGGCTGAGCAAACCATAAAGAGCAAGCCAGTAAGCAGTACCTCTCCATGGCCTCTGCAACAGCTCCTGCCTCCAGGTTGCTGCCCTGTTTGGGTTACTGTCCTTATGTCCTTCAACAATGAACAGTTATAAGAAAGTGCAAGCCAAATAAACCATTTCTTCCCAACTTGCTTTTGGTCACAGTGTTTCATAGCAGCAATAGAAACCCTAAGATGTAGATTCTAGGACTTGTCAGTCTGTACAAACAGGCCCGTTCCTTTATACACTGGTGTTAATGCAGGCTAAGTGATACTGAGACTTTCTTCCCTACTAAGGGACAGCAAAGACCTCACCCAAAACCTCTATGGTCATTATGGGGGAGCACAGTCTACAAGCAGGAGATAATGTGTCATGAGTCTCCTCCCACCATGATGACATCAGAGAACACAAAACTGAGTAGTTGTTAGTTTTCATCATTGTCAAAGTCGAATAAAACCACTATGTTGTGGTATCAGCAGTGGCTATAAGGGCATGGTAACAAGGTGTTCCAGAAAAAGTGATTGCAGAGAAGGCTTCACAGGGATGCTGAAATTCCATTTAAAAGCAGACACAACGGAGCACTCTCCTTGAGTGGGAACAAGGCAATGCCCACACTGCCCCTCTCCTGCCAGTGCGGCCTCGGCAGAAGCTACTAAGACTGAAAATTTAACAGCAGTTTTATGAAGTCAAGTATTTAGAATCCACTTGAAAGTGACTCATTCTGTGGTGAACCAGGAAATTCTCCCCTTGGACAAAAAAAGCAATATGCAAACACCAGCTCTGAGGTGATGGATGAGCAGCCCTTTTTAAAAGTCGCAATATCTCAGCGTATGAGATGAATGAAAACTAAAATAGATAGATAGATAGATAGATAGATAGATAGATAGATAGATAGATAAAAGAAACCTCAGCAAAGAATATCCAGATACAAATGAGAATAAAATGAAAACCCTAGAACTTAGTAATCCAATAACCAAAATTGAAAACACCATTCAGCGGATGAGCTTTGTGTAAGAAGGGCAGTGACTTGAATCGGAATCAAAAAACTCATCCAAGCAAGTAACAGAGCAGTGGAAGTAACAAGTCAAGTGGAAACAAATGAACAACAACTCATGGAACTCTGGGACTACAACCAGAAATGTCACATTAAAGTCCCAGAAGAAGGAGAGTGAAAAAGTGGAACTCAAAAAGGAATTCAGAGAAATCACAGCTGAAAATTAGCTCAGGCTAGCAAAGGACATAAACCTATGAATTCAGAAGAATCTGAGCAAACTCTGAGATGAATAAAGCCAAGGAAATCAATGCTAAGACATAGGGTGAAACCTCTATAAAGACAAAGGAAAATCCTTGAAGACAAGAGAGACATGTACAGGCAAATCTGGTGGCTATAGATTCTACTCATCTCTCGAGGGAGCCATGATGCAAGGGCCCAAAGAGAATTATCTGCCTCCTACTCTATATCTGGCAAAATTATGATGCAGAAATGATGAAGAAGTAAAGGGTCTGACAGACATAATAATAATAATAATAATAATAATAATAATAATAATAATAATAGTAACAACCTTGTCATCAATAGACCTGCATCTAAAGTATGGTTACAGGAAGTTCCTAAAACAGAAAAGGAATCTTAGAAAGGAAAGAGACATGAAAACCTTTGAGTCAACAGAGTTTTCTTCTTCACTTGAATACCTAGATTATGCTTAGCAATGAAGGAAAACATTTTATAACGTAGCTCTCCACAGAGAAGAAATTTAAATATTTGTACTTATTAATATTTAATAAAAAAAGAATGGTAGAGATTTAAAGGAAGGTATTTTTTCTATTCTTCACTCGAATGAATAAAATGTTAATAGCAGTGGACTTGGTAAGGTATATATCACATACATGTATCTACACAAACAAGTTAGAGTAACTACTGCATTTTTTGACAAAGAAATAGTCAAGAGTAGTATCAGATAAAACAAATGGAATTCCAAAATAAGTAATTGTGTGATTTTACTTAACATCCTGAAAAACAACAGGATTATAGAGATGGAGAAAAATAGCAATTGCGTGATGTTAGAGATGGAAGAGGAGGCCAAGAGTTTATTATCCAATGTAGATCTTCAGAGTAATGGAATAGACGCCATTTTGACCGCAATGGCAATTCCACAAATCTATCTTAGGTAGCAAAATACTGCATACCTAGATGCATAGTTTTGTGCCACTGTCCATTTCCCTGATTTTACACAATAATAACCCCTTGTAGCTTTATCATAGTTGTGTGAATGTAACTACTGAAGGAAATTGAGTAATGAGTACATTTGGGGAAAGAAGGCTCAGAGGATAAAAACATTTACCGCCAAGCCTGGCTCCCTGCATCCAATCCCTGAAGCATGCATATGGAAGGAAAGAACCCCATAGAGTCGTCCTCTGGCCTCCACATACACATTATGTTACATGCATGCCCACAAGCCATACGCACACAAAATAAAATAGCATGAAGCACAAGTTGTTTAAAAGAGGACATGTGACCTTCTTCCACGAAATCTATGTGGTGCCCTGGGAATCCGTATTTATTTCAAAGTGGAAGGTGTACAAATCATTGTACAGTATACTAATAGGCAAGTCCATACCTGGCATGCATCTTTCCCTCCTCTTAAGAAGCCAGCACACAGCATCCTAGGAGTGATGGCGCCATTGTATGCTTGAGGTTGATTGCAGGTTTGAGTGTCTATGTAGTCCACCTGCACTTGCCGGAGGTGAGTCTGGGTAAATCCTGAGAAAAGACAGTCATCTTTATAGATATGAGTATTTTATAGACCTGAAAAAAAAAACCTCTGCTCTAATTATTAGATAAGATGACAATATGCATGTGGGGAGGTGAGAGGGTGGGGAAGTGTTTAAGAACAGTAACATTTGAAGGAATTCTTTCTAACTAGTTTAAATAAAATTTTCAATGCCTAAGAAAGAGCTTCAAATTGTTGAAGAACCACAAGATGTTGTCTGGGGAGAACAGCTGTACAATTACTTAATCTTCACAATTAGGTATATCAACAAATCCTGATTTCTCACATGGCCAATTGTCTAGTAGGAAAATCAGTAGCAAAAGCCTAGTGTGGCATTACATGCCTGAAACCCCGGTGGGTTTAAGAGTGGGGAGGCAGAGATGGCTGGAATCTGGAGGTTTGCTGGCCACCCGTATAGTTGAAACAGCTAGCACTAGGTTCAGTAAGACATCCTGTCAAAAACACAAGTGACAGCTTATGCTGGCAAAGATGTGGAGCAAGAGAAATATTCCTGCATTGCTGATAGGAGTGCAAACTTGTACAGCCACCATGGAAACAATACAGTGGTTGATTCCTCAGAGAACTGGAAATCAATATATCTCAAGACCCAGCTATTGTGGAATATTAGTTTAAGATATGTTACACTTGTTTATGCTGTGGAACGTTTGTTTAATGATGCAAAGATGTGCTGCATTCTTTTATGTTGCATTTGTTTAATTTTGCAAAGCTGTGTTACTTTGCCTGCCTAAAACGTCTAATTGGTCTAATAAAGAGTTGAATGATCAATTAGCCAGGCAGGAGAGGGTTAGACAGGGCAGCCAGGCAGAGAGAATAAATAGGAGGAGAAATCTAGGCTCAAGAGCAGTGAGGAGTGAGAAAAGGAGGAGCAGAGGAAACTAGGGGCCAGCCACCCAGCCACCCAGCCAGCCACAGAATAAGAAGGAAAGAAAGATATATAGACTGAAAAAGGGTAAAAAGCCCAGAGGCAAAGTGTAGTTAAAGTAAAATGGGATAATTTAAGCTAGAAAAGCAGGCTAGAAACAGGCTAAGCTAAGGGTGGCATTCATAAGTAAGAATAAGTCTCTGTGTATTTATTTGGGAGCTAGGTGGTGGGCCCCCAAAGATTAAAAAAAGAAAGAAAACAACAACACAATAACTACACTCAGATATACCACTCATGGGACACTCCATGCTACCACAAGGACATTTGCTCAACTATGTTCATAGCAGTTTCATTCGTAATAGCTAGAACCTGGAAACAACCTAGATGTTTTTCAACTTAAGAATGGATAAAGGAAACTTGCACTTGGGAGACGGAGGTAGGTGGATCGCTACAAATTCAAGGCCAGCATGGTCTATAAAAAGAGTTCCAGGACAGCAAAGGCTACACAGAGAAACCCTGTCTCAAAAAACCAAAAACCAAAAGAAGAAGAAATGAAAATGTGGTACATTTACACAACAGAGTATTACTCAGTTGTTAAAAAACAATGTCATATGAAAATTGCAGGCAAATGGATGGAACTAAAAAAAAAATATTGTGCACCCTAATAAAGCTTATCTAAGGCTCAGAGGAAAAAGCCAGCCACTATATTAAACATAGAAGTCAGGCAATGGTAACACACACCTTTAATCCTAGCATTCTCGAGGCAGAGATCCATTGGAATCTCTGTGAATCCAAAGCCGCACTGGGAACAGAACCAGGCATGGTGGTACATGCCTTGAATTCCAACACTAGTTAATCATAAAGGTCTGGAGGTCTGTACAGAGAGACAGGAAGTGACAGAGCTGGGCAGAAAGAGGAAGTGATGTAACTGAGCGGAGAGAGGAAATGATATGGCAGGGACAGAAATGCATATGGGGGTGGGTATACAGGAAGTAGGTCTCTTTGGAGACTGAGGCATCAGGATGGTGAGGTTGGCTGTGGCTTGTCCCATCCTTTTGATCTCTCCGTTTTAAACCCCAATATCTGGCTCTGGATTTTTTATTTATAAGACTGTTTAGCAATTTGTGTTACCCGTAGTATGTACTCACTTATTAGTGGACATTAGCCATTACATAGAGGATAATCATGCTACAATCCACAGACCCAGAGGCTGAGTAACAAGAAGAGCTCAAGGCGGGGGAATTCAGGTGTGGATGGGAACAGGAAGGATCAGGTCAGAGGCAGGGGGCAGGAAGTGGAGAGAAAGAGTACTGGGAGGACATTTGGGGGCAATGTAGAAACCTAGTGCAGTGGAAACTCACTGTAATCTATGAGAGTGACCCTAGCAAAGACTCCTAGTAATTGGGGTTACAGAGCCTGAACCAGCCATCTTCTACAACCAGGCAAAACTTTCAGCAGTGAGACTGGGACATCAACCATCGACAAAACCTTCCATCTACAACGTGTCCTGCAAGATGTTCAGAGGTAATAGTGGTATAGAACTTGTGAGAGGGGCCAACCAATGACCGGTTTAGCTTGAGGCCCATGCCATGAGAGGAGCCCACACCTGACACTGCCTGAATGGCCAGGAACAAGAGACCGGACAACCCAGAGATCCAGGATAGAACTGAACATAACTGGTTAAAAAAAAAAAAAAAAAAAAAAAAAAAAAAAAAAGTCAATGAAAAGATTCCTAACGATATTCTGCTATACTCATGGATCGGTGCCTAGCCCAATTTTCATCAATCAGGCATCATCCAGCAACTGATGGGAGCAGGTGCAGCAACCCGAAGCCAAGCACGAGGCAGAACTTGAGGAACCCTGTATGAGAGGGGAGGAAGGATCATAGGAGCCAGAGGAGTCGAGAACACAACCCACAGCATCAATTAAGCAGGGCTCAGAGGGGCTCACAGAGTCTGAAGTGACAATCAGGGAGCCTGCATGGATCTGAGCTAAGTCCTCTGCCTATATGTTATGGTTGCATAGCTTGGTATTCTTTTTTTTCCCCGAGACAGGGTTTCTCTGTGTAGCTTTGCACCTTTCCTGGAACTTACTCTGTAGCCCAGGCTGGCCTCAAACAGAGATCCGCCTGGCTCTGCCTCCCGAGTGCTGGGATTAAAGGCGTGCGCCATCACCGCCCGGCATAGCTGGGTATTCTTGTGAGACTCCCAACAGCAGGAGCAGGGCTGTCTCTGGTTCTGTTGCCTGCTCTTGGGACCTACTCCTCCTACTGTGTCACCTCAACCTTGATATGAGGGTTTGTGCCTAGTCTTTTTGTAATTTGTTATGCCATGTCCAGTTGCTCTCCCTGGGAAATCTGTTCCTTTGTTGAAGGGAAATGGAGGAGGAGGGATCTGGGGGAGAGGTGAGGCAGGTAGGGGGCTGAATGGGGTGGGGGGAGGGGAAACTTGTCAGGATGTAATGTACAAGAGAAGAATAAAAAAAGACATCCTGGCCGGGCGGTGGTGGCGCACGCCTTTAATCCCAGCACTCGGGAGGCAGAGCCAGGCGGATCTCTGTGAGTTCGAGGCCAGCCTGGTCTACCAAGTGAGTTTCAGGAAAAGGCGCAAAACTACACAGAGAAACCCTGTCTCAAAAAACCAAAAAAAAAAAGACATCCTGTATCTAAATAAATAATAAGGTGAATAAGGATGAGTAAAACATTCTGAAATCATCCTCTGGCCTAGACACACATTCACATCAGAGAACACACCAAGCACAAAACATGCAGCCTCCCCCCACACACACACACACACACATACATTCCCTACAGGTGCATACCCTCATTTAAAAAAAGAAATTCAGTTACCAACAGGCATATCTGCTCCTTCACATGACTTAGAACATCATTACAGTAACAGCAGCAATGCAATAAATAGAAACTGAAGGCGAGAAAGAATGTATGCATTGTCAAAGTGGCTTAAAGCCTGCCTTAGCCTGAATCCACATGATGAACAACCAACATACTTTGTCGTGTCATACGTTGTCTCATTTCTTTAAAATGCCTTGGGACTCCAAATTAGGTCATTGTGCCTTGATTTTCCCTCCAGATGCTCACCATCATTTTGCAATGCTCCGAATCCTGTCACAAACATCTTCTGCCCCGAATGGAATTCATGGTTTGCATCGGGGAGACAAACCTTGTGCACTGCATTTGTGCAGGGGACCGGCCTAGAAAGCTGTGCCAGAGCAATGTCATAGTCATGCGATGGGTAGCTGTATTTTTCATGAACAATTATCCTCCGGAGGCCTGTCTTCAGTTTTGGAGGTTGTATTGTTGACCCAAAGGAAGCAGTCCATCTGGATGGGTCCTTGTGCCTACCAAAAGAAAAATAATAGTAATAATAAATTCTAGCTTACCTTGGTATCAGTGTAATAATTTGTAAGTAATGGTTTTATCTGCAGGTATCAGCATAAATGTTTTTTTTTAAGTTATAGTTTATATCAGCAGAAATAAACTCTTTCCAATGAGAAAACTGGGCTCAGGGTTCAAGCCAGGGGGAAGCCGCAAGGGTGCTTTCCCGGAGTTACATGGCACACTGTGCACCATGGTGCCTGCTGCAGATCCAGGAGCCTTTTCTATAAGTGGTTACGAACAACACATGAAAAGAAAATTCTGCATAGATGAAAGTAAACCATTCTGCATGCCCCACATCCTCTGCCTGCAAGAATATATATTTTTCTGAAGTCCACAGAGGTCACGTATAATTTAAAATGCATTACTACTGTGGGTATTGTCAATATTTTGACAAGTCAACATTCCTTCTAACATGAAAAATCAACTATTCAGTTATAAAATTTGCTACTTCCAACTTCCTTCACACTTCCTCCTCTTTCTCCTTGGAATTTCCTCATAGGGATCAAAACTAGCATCTGATCAGCTTCAGTTCTTGTAAAGATACTTAGTTACCATCAGTTCTTCTCTTTGATAACAAGCTCAAAATTCAAACGTGACTTAAAGTGCATATTGTTCTTTGGCAAACTATCATAAATTTCTCAATGAGTAATTTCACCACAACAATGTACGTTGATGTCATTTTCATTCCCAGAGACCATAAAACTTCCTACTAAGTTATCTGAGATTCCCTCTGTGTTTTATGATAAACATACCATTTTTTGATTTGTGCCAAACTCACTTCTCTAAAAATGCATGACTTATTTCCTGAATATGCAATATAAAGCCTCATGCGCTTTTCTTCTGTCCTGTCCGCACAGTTCAGGACTTACGTTCGAAAGCAGTGAGCAGCACTCACGAGCCATGTGTTATTGATCAAAGCCGCTCCGCAGCGGTGGGACCCATCCCACTGCAGGCTACTCTGCCACGGCCATTCCCCCTCTTCTGCTTGTGTCCCTCCAACAATCCTGAGACTAGTCTGGGCTGTAGATTTATTCCGCCGCGTCCCACAACCTGCCAGGCAGACAGAAGACAGTAATTAGCAGTTCTTGAAGCATCCCAACTCTCTCTTACCACGTGGTCCAATAGATCAAACTTTTTCTCATGTTTTTATCGTTATATAAATAATAACATTTTATTTAGTCAACTCCTATTCATCTTGTGAGGTTTAAATTGGGCATTATTTGTCTTTGGGTGACCTCTCTATCAATGTCTCTGCTCCCGAACTAAATTAATTGTGACGTCTTTCATGCTTCCTTACTGACAATACTAATTAATGATATCATTCCATATGTGTGTGCAAGTGGTTTTGTTGTTATCATTATTTTTTGTTGTTATTATTATATTTGCTGCTGCTGTTGTTGTTGTTATTCCTCCTCATTGCTTACAATGGAGTTTTCCAAAGCCTGGGTACCACTGCTGCTTAGGGTCATAAGAGTTTTAGTTATGAGTGACTGTCCTGATTGAGACAAACTAGATGTCAGTAACAGTCCCTCACACAATTGTGATGAAAAGGCCAAAGTAGGGCATGATATTTTGTGCAACAGCAAAGCCCTGGGGTTAAAACTGCTGTTTTAGAATTGTGTGATCATGAATCAAGCATCTGGCAATATCAGAGTGTAAGCTGCTTTGGGCAGGTATATGTTGCCCATTTTGCATCGCTTTTGGCTCACACAGAACCAGCACATCCTAGGTTCCTACTTATTATTGATGGCAAGAATATATGTCGTTGGTTCTAGGCTGAGTGAGCTTTATAAACAAATCAACATTCCAAGCTCCTATCTTAATTTTTAATTACACTTATTTACTTAGTGTGTAAGTATGTGTGTATCTACTACTGTGAGTGCAGGCCAGAGGACAGCCTTCAGTATTTGGTCCCCTGCTTCCCAGTATTTGGTCCCAGGGATTGAATTCATGTTGTGCGGCTTAGCAGAAAGTGCCCTTACCTGCCGAGCCATCTCACCTTCCCTCCTTCCATTTAAAAAAAAAGATAAATAATGTCCTCTTACCAATTGTGTAACTACTAAATATATTTTTGAGCCACAGTGAGTGGTCTGCTATGAGAGAGTGAAGAACTAGGTCTAGAGTCAAGACCTTTAAAATTTCATCATATTTAATTTCATCTAATAAACCACAAGTCCATAATTACCTACAATTTCTATTGTAATCAAACAATATCAAGATGATTTTATTTAGAGTAGTTTGACATTAAGATGAAAAATAACAGCATGTGGCTCAGAGTTATATACTGAAAAACTATGAATATAGCCACATGCAAAGAGAGTATTTTTGCTTCTTCCTTAACAGTTGCCCAACTCACTTCGGTTCCCATGGACACATGGACATCCAATTTGAAGTTCTCCCAAGTTTGCTATTCCTTAGCGGATCTCAGACACAAAACGAAGTGCCATAAGCTATGTACAAATCATTCAAACTCTATTCTATCTCCGCAGTATCAACACAAAGCCCATGTAAATGTTCTAGAGTGTTAACCTTTCTGCAATCAGGTAATGCAATCTTAATGAATAAATTCAACTTACAATGGTTGAGATAGTTGTCTGTTTCTGTCTTGTTGATTTCTGAAATACACACAAATGATGAATAGGATGCAGTGAGCATAAGAGAATTTCACTAAGTTTTCAGCACTAGACAGTTGATAAATTTTTAAAACAGTATCTTTGGGCTATAAGGAAAGAAATATCGTTAGGTTGTCACAGACATGCTTTTTTTTTTTTTTTTACCATTTCGAAGAGGAGAGGAGGCATGAGCAATGAGCCTGGAACTCTGGTGTGAAAAAGAAGCAATAAATAACCTGTTTATAATGTAGATTACTGTTGCATTTCTCAATAATACTGATTCACAAGTTTTGTGTTGAAACCTAAGAATGTGAGTTTTATACCAGAAAAATAAGAGTCTGGGAGTCCATGGCCTCTTTTTGATAAATATTAAATTAAACTATAACATTGATTCCTTAAATGCAACCATAGTTTTACTAAACATAATTTTGGAATATTTTACTATGTATATAGCATAGTTCCACATGTGCAACACAGTCCTCAATTCCATGATCAAAATTAAAAAATAATGCTCCTCCTCTCTAAATTTTCTTTCTGCTAGTGTTTTAGATATAAGACTGTCCACACCTTCCCACTCAACTCAGCCAGATTTTTACCTCAAATGACACTCAGCAGTCAGGACCTAATCATAGGAAAACACTTGCTTAAATAAGGGTACAGAATAGCCTAAGTGTTCATATTTTCTGACATAATAGTTTTCCAGTGACCAACTGTTCTCTTTGAACACATATGGCAGGACAGGTGTTCTAGATGCAAAAATCATATCAATCTATTAATTTTACTTCTCATGTTTAATAATTTTGACATACTGAGGTTTGTATTACAAACATTCTTTTTTATTTATTTTCATTTCATGTGCATTCATGTTTTGCCTGTGTGTATGTCTCTGAGAATGTGTCAGATTCCCTGAAACTGGAATTATAGGCAGTTATGAGCTGCCATGTGTTTGCTGGGAATTGAACTCAGGTCCTCCAAAAGAGCAGGCAATATTCTTAACCACTGAGCCCTGACATTGTTCTTTTTCACCTTCTCCATCATGCCTTGTAGGCAAACAGAAGATGCAAGGAAGGCTGGTTATTGAGTTTCAGCTGCTATTCAGCTGCCTAATAGTCTGTTTCATATACTCGATTCTCTACCTCGAATTCTTTCTAAAAGTTCAGATTTTAGCTGTTCCCATACTGAGAATAGCTTTGTGCTTATTTTCAAGTCGCTCTGTTACTACCCTGAAATTCTTAATAATTTTATCTTGTGATGTGTGTTTTGAAAAGGAAGTCCAGTGTGATATTCAAACACAGTATGGCCAGAGGAGGCCTATGGAATTTGTGTGTCTGTGATGGCTCACCATGCCACTTGCATATATCAGTCATGATGCTCTGTGAAGTAGAATCCTGGTGAACACACAACATGTAGAAACATAGCGAGACTCAAAACAAGAACAAGACAAGTGTGTTAAACTCAAGACCAAGCATGGAGGGAGCACTGGCAATAAAGAAGGACATGTTTGTGTTTGAACTAGAAATTTGTAGAACCCAGGAAGAAAGCAATGGCATTCTAATAAGCACAAATGAATATGACACCCTACATAGTTTTTTTTGCTCACAATTTTGCGTATATTAGCTAACTGTTTTAGCTGAAAATAAACATACTGAAATCTATAGACCTTTTTCTACCTAGTATTTCCTTTCTCATCAATAAGCCAAAGGCAGAAAGCTTTGAAAGGATGTGTTATATTAAGAAGGGAACTAGAAATAGTCAGCTTAGCTTTGTGTACTGTTCTCACTGTGTTGCAATGAAAATGAGATACAGTTGTCCTTTTGCATCTATAGAGGACTTGTGTAAGGACATTCCCAAAGATGTCAAAACACCAACCATGCTCTGAAATGGTTCAGTACTTGCATTTAACATATATACATCTTTCTATATGCTTTAAATCTCTCTGGACTACTTAGAGTACCTGACAATATAAATACCATGCAGATAGGATACTTACATTCTTAAGGAATAACAAAAAAACGTGTGTATTCAGTAAGAATTTTTTTCTAAATATTTTTGGTTCTACAAAAATAATGTGACTTTCTGACTCCATGGAAATAGAGCCCATGGACCAAGAGGACAACTGTACTTGCAGGAACTACAAAATATTATTGCATCATCCTCTGTGGTTCCAGAAAAGAATAAACAAACAAAAATACCACCTCAGCCTATTCGATTACAGTTGTAAAATGCACAGAAATGAGTATATGTGAATTACAGTTGTTCACTGGAAATAATCTTAAGAAAGTAGATGTGAGAAAGAGTATAAAAGCTTTCCTCATGTCATACTCTCAGAACGTATGATGGAAGCAACAAGTAGAAGAAGACCATTCAAAGCCACTTTTTCCATGTTCAATTAGATTCTGTATCCAACATACAAGGCACAATAAAGACACTTCTTGGGAGATGATGAAAGCCTGCATGGGAAGGTTTAGAACACTTTCAAGAGCAAAAATGGTTCATTAACACCATTTAGTCCAAATGTCAAGACCTCAGCAATTAAAGGACAAAAGAATTTTTAACAAAATGCCTAAAGCTATTTTAGAGTTATATGAGAGAAATAAGCAAAATAGACCAACCTACTTTTAATTTCAACTGATTCAGGATCGACAGTGGGGGGTCCTGGAACATATTTCAGCTTTTCATGCAGAACATGTTCAACAATTTGATGCACAGCTTCAGGATCCTCAGTCAAGCGAATTCGAAAAATCAGTAGCATGTGAGCCGACACTCCATCGTATTCTTTACTATTGTCCCAAAAATATAAAGAAGGAAAGGAGAGAGAGAGAGAGAGAGAGAGAGAGAGAGAGAGAGAGAGAGAGAGAGAATGAAAGAATTGACAGAGGGAGGAAGTTTGTGAGCAGAATTATTATGCATGGTTCTTTGGTTTTCTTTTTTACATCACACTTTATTTTCTTAAAACTTAAACATTATTAGGGGCTGGGGAGATGGCTCAGAGGTTAAGAGCACTGGCTGCTCTTCCAGAGGTCCTGAGTTCAATTCCCAGCAACCACATGGTGGCTCACAACCATCTATAATGAGATCTAGCGCCCTCTTCTGGCCTGCAGTGCAGGCATGTGTGCTGGCAGAACACTCTATACTGAATAAATGAATGAATGAATAAATAAATAAATAAATAAATAAATAAATAAATAAATAAATAAATAAATAAATAAAAATCTTTTTTAAAAACTTAAACATTATTGACCTCAGCTTCCGGTCTGTCATCAAATCAGACTCACCTTCTCAGCTCCCATGGTCTGCTAGTGTCTTAACGCTATGGTTCTCTAAGTGTTCATGCTTCCCCTAAACTTGTGCTTTTTATGTTACAGCACCAAAGGAAGGAAAAATGAGCAATAGCAGGATCACTAAGATGAAGTCAGCTAGCTGCAAAGTGACTTGGGAAATAAAACTGGTAGTGCTTCGTTATTTTATAAACGAAAGGGTCTGGGTGAAAGAGGCTTGTGTGGCAACTTCAGGTTTCTCAGTGGTGTGATTAAATTCTTGAGTTAGGGAATTCACCATGCAACCTTTTGCCAGGGGCGCAAGAACAGACAAACAGTTACAGAAATCAGGAAAACCATTCAGACTGGACATAAAAATCAGATTCCAGTAACATAAGATGCCATGTGGATGATGTACCCCTTAAGAGAATGGAGATTTAAGAAGTAGAGAGATAGTCCAAAAGGATGCTCTCTCAGGTATAGATTTCAGGAGAAAGTCTTCAAAACAATACCTCAGAGGTGTCAATTAAGTCACAGGCTGGGAATTAATTCAGAATGGTATCATTTGAATAATACTATAAACAGTTCTTACCCTATTTTTGAAAAATGTAAACAATGTGTGTTAGAATAAGTTCTTTAAAATCAGTAGGTAGCATTTTACTTAAAAATGTTGTCCTTGAAAGGTAATTACACACTTGTAATCCAAAGACTGAGGCAAGATTAAGATTAAGAGTTCAAGGCAAACCTGGACTATATAACAAGACCTTGTCCCCAACACAAAACAACAACAGTAGAAAACTATGTTCTGATCTTGCCTATTCAGCAATAATTGATAAGAGTTCTGAAATCCTTTTAAGTAAATATTTGGAACATAAAAATATAGAATAGGCTGCCCCCGACGACTTCCCTTCTGGACCAGAGGTGAGTGCCTGGGTCCAGCCCGGACCCCATCCCTGGCCACCAACCACTCCTGAGAGGC